CGGGGTCATTGAGAATTGACCGCAACGTTTCAGAGATTTCTTCAAGGTCACTCATTACTGTATTAGTCGGTATCTTGTACAATTTCTTAGCATATGATTTCGTTTTACTAACAGTATTACTGTCTTTGTCAGTGATATAAAAAGTTCGCATTAGGTTTCCTACCATAACAAATCTCTTCACGTAATTATTTTTCATCTCTTTCCATTTATTTTTCCAATTATTGATTATACACTGGAGTTCATCGATTTTCCTTTGCTGGTCTTCAGTCATTTCAGTTATGCTCTTATTTAATTCTTCAATAAGGACCACAAGCTCATCGATCTCCGTTATCTGGAACTCTTTTTTGATTATATCTAACTCAGTATCAGCATTAACGAATGCTTCTGCAATTTCATCCAAGGACTCACTGTTCTCAATATTTTCATATACTGTCTCGATGACTTTCATTTTCTCCTTATAAAGCATAGTACTGACTTTATCGCCAATCTTCTTAATATCATTTTGAAGACAAATAAAAGATTTAACATCCGTATTTTTTTCGATTTCTGTTCTTCTCGCAAGTGAGCGAGCATTTGACAGTAAGTTACACAGATCCGTAACGACTTTCTTCGTGTTTTCAGGTAACCACTGTAGCAGGTCTTCCCTTGTAGAATCGGATAACTTTGGAAATTCCAAAGAATTATTTAAATATTCCCCGACGACTTGTAAAATTCTTGTAATCATCATTTGTCTCTGTTGCTCGTTTGGATCAATCGATGAGGCCAGCTGTAAATAATCCTTCATTTTTTGTAAAGAGTAGATGTCTCTAATTTGTTGATAGTCGGTGTACAATTCTTTGAATTGAGGATAATTATCGATTACTTTTGCAACAATTTCCGGCCGTGCCCCTTTTAGGAGATGAGTGAACATCTCGGGTTCCTTTACGTTTCCAAGTACTTCTGCAAAACTCTCCAAATAATCAAGCACTCTGCTTTTGTTTAATACGACTCGATAATAGAAATTCAGTTCTTGTTGTTTCACGTGTGCGGATACGAAACTAATTAAGCAAAACTCTATCTCTTCCCAAGGTAACTTAACATATGTTGACTTCAATTGCTGTTTTAAGATATGGACATTTTGCGCAATAAATTTTGTTACGAACAGAAATTTATCATCTACTTTCTTCGTGTTCGGATATTCTGTCTTCAGTAACTTTATATTTTCGCGCACCAATTTAATGCGTTTTTTCACGTTATCAAGATTGTTATTCAATCTTTTATCTTTATTTTCATTCTCTTCAATTTTGTCATAAAAAAAACGAAGATTTA